GATGTTCGAAAGGGGAAGGAGGCAGGGGCGCGCGGGAGGCAGGGGCGCAGCAGGAGCCGGGCTGCCCTGCCTCCTGCCCCGCCTCCCGCCTGCCGCCCTTCTCCCTGCCTGCTTCTGCTCTTGCGTCTGGCGTCTGGCGGCGTGCCCACATTGTGTTTGTTGCCCCCGGTGCCCCGCCTCCACCCGCCCGCCCCACACCTGCCTGCCCCGCAGCGCAAGATGACCCGGGAGGAGGTGGACCAGCGCATGGTGCGCGCGCTGGCCGACATGCCCGCCCACCTGGCCGAGGAGGCGGTGGTGCGCTACTCGCGCTCCCTGGACGACCACGTGCGCAACAGGCAGGGCTTCATGGTGAGCGGGGGGGGGGGCGGCGGCGCATGCGTGTGCGCTCTGCGGCTGGAAATGGGGCTGCTGGGGGGCATGTAGCTCGCAGTTCAGCGGAGGCCAGGTGTTTCGTCAGCTCACACGGTGGTCGCTGCCGTCGCTGCCTGTCTTATTGCTCCTCCACGGCCGCCTCCGCTGCCGCCTGCCTGGTCGCGTGCAGATGGGCATCATCAAGAAAGTGCTGGAGGAAGATCGCTTTGGCCGGGGAGGCCCTGGCGGCGGCGGCGGCTACGGCGGCGGCGGCGGCTACGGCGGCGGCGGCGGCTACGGCGGCCCTCCTCGCGGTGGCTACGGTGGTGGCTATGGCGGTGGCGGGTACGGCGGCGGCGGCTATGGTGGCGGCGGCGGCTACGGAGGTGGCGGTGGCGGCTACGACAGGTGCTTCACTGGCTGAATTAGCTTTGCGAACAACAACGGCAATGAAGGAGGCAGTGCATTGCAGAGGCACGGCCTGTATCTTCTTGCACGACAAACGTCACGTCTGATTGCTTGCTGCTTGGGCATGCCGCAGGTACGACCGCGGCGGCGGCGGCGGCGGCGGCTACCGCGACGATTACAGGCGGGACGACTACCGCCGTGACGACAGGGGCTACGACCGGGACTACGACCGCCGGTACTGAGCTCTAGCTGTAGCCCACTGCCGCCTGGCCCCCCACATGCTTTCTTGGACATGTGTTTGTGCTCGCTTTCCGCATGCGTGTTGCTACGGTGTGTGCTCTTGTGTGTCGACAGCTTTGGCCCGCGTGAAGCTTTGAGAGGGGTGATGGCTTCTGTAGCTGTATTTGACAACGGCTGCACACAGCATGTGTGTGAACAGTTCTTACAGTTTGGAGACAACAGCAGGAAGCAGGTCGGCGGGGCGCATTGTGGTCAAAGCTCCTTAGCCGTGACCTGCATGCCAGCAGCATCAACGTGTTGAGTGCATGGCGGCGGCGCAGCCTGCACCAGCCAGCACAGGTCTGCCTGCCGCCCCGCCCCCTCGCCCCTTCCCCAGCACCCCACCTTGAGCTGCTTGTTGCCCGACAGCGCGCGCAGCAGGCGGCGGACGAGGAAGAGGTAGTGCGGCGGCCAGGCGGGGTGCAGCTGCCCAAACTCGCTTCGAAAGCACAGGTAGAGGATGGGCGGCAGCAGCAGCAGCAGCGAGCTCGCGCCAAACAGCGGGAAGGCACCTATGAGGATGGGGTGGGTGTGGATGGCAATCTGCGGAGCGGGGAGGCAGGCCAGCAGTGGGGGTGAAGTGCAGTGCGTGGTGGGGACGGGTGGGGGCGGCGGCGGCCTATGTCGACATAGGTCGCAGCCCCGGGTGTGGTCACCTCTAGCGCGTGCACTCCGTGCCAGAACCCGACGAGCAGGAGGGCTCTGCAGGGAGGTTGAGACAAGTGTGTGAGGCCACCTGCTGCAACTTAGCTACTTAGCGAGTGCAACACACACACATTAGCGCCACAGCCTCCACGATGCCAAGCTTAGAAGGGGCTTTGCCGCCGCTGGCGCTGCGCCCAAGCAGCGGCTGCATTTCGGGCTGCTCCGGCATGGCTGCAGGACTGTTGCACAAGGATGACTGAAGGAGTGTGATCGAATGGCACTGCACAAGGGCCCTGGTGAGTTGGAGTTGGGGCGGCCATAGCGCGCCCAACACCGCTGTTCATAGGAACATTTCATTCCGGCACATTTCGCAATCACTTCACACCCATAACCCAGTTACTTGCTAAAAGCAGTCACGATCTCGGGTTCAGACACCGACAGACAGCTTTCAGCGGCTGGGCTGCACGACCAAACCATCTGTACAAGCGCACATCCGGCCGTTGGTGACACACACACCCCAGGCCTCGATCTGCATTCGCCCTGCCGTTGTCAGGTCACATCCAGTGAAAGAGATGCCAAGCAGCAGCAACTGGCCACGGGTCAGGGGTCGGCGGCCGCGCCGCCGCGCAGCAGGGCGGTGCGGGCGCCGTAGTCGAAGCGCGGGTCGCTGAGGATGCCCAGCACCAGCCGCTCCTCGGGGCTCAGCCTGCGGCCCTGGCGCCGCCGACGCAGCTGCGCCTCCGCCCCCGCGCGCTGCGCGTCCGCCGCAGCCGTGGCCGCCGCGGCGTCGGCCGCCTGGGCCTGCCCTAGCTCCACCACCGCCAGCGCCCGCTCCAGCCGGTGCCACAGCTGGTGCTGCTCGTTGTGCCGCCCCGCCGCCGCCTGCTGCTCCTGCTGCTGCCGCTCCCCATCCTCCTCTCGCTCCTGCCCCAGCGCCGGCAGCGCCGCCACGGCTGCTGCTGGCGCAGGCTGCGCCGCGGCCGGCGTGCTGCCCTTGCCCAGCAGCAGGAGCAGCTCTGGGTGGCCTCGCAGGTCGGCTTCCAGCAGCAGCAGGGCCGCCGCCCGATCCAGCGCCGCCTTGGACAGCACGCAGGGCAGCAGCACGCCGCCCTGCGCCTCGGCGCCGCGCTGTCGCCGCCGCCGGCTCGCCGCCTTGCTGCCGCCAGTCCCGGCGCCGCCGCCAGACAGCAGCTGGTCGCTGTGCTTCTTGGCCTGGTGGCCCAGCGTCTCCATGGTGGCCACATCGAGGGCCTGCGGCACCGAGCGGCGGCGCAAGTGGGAAAGCTGTGGGCGGGTTGGCACGTGAACCCTCCCGGTTCAAGCATAGGAGGCTGGCAAGCGGAGCGGCGCCAGCTGGGCCTCTCTCTCCACTCCGCACCTGCTGCATGCTCTCCAGCACCTCAGCCACCACCTGGCTGTACTGCTCTATGTACTGCTGCCGCGCCGCATGCTCCTGGCCCAGCCAGCCCTGCAGCTGGCGCCGGTGCGGCGCCTCGCCCTCGCCCTCCCCTTTGCCCTGGCCCTCCTCCTCGAAGCTGCCGCTGCTGCTGCCGCTGTCGTAGCCGCTGCTGCCGCCGGCGATGCCGCCCCCGCCGCCGTCGGCCTCGCTGCTGCCCTCCCCATCCAGCGCTGCCGCCTCCTCCTCCTGCCGCAGCGCCTGCTGCCGCCGCGCCTCCGCCTCCTCCACCCGCCGCTGCTTCTGGCGCTGCCGCCGCCGCTGCTGCTGGCCCAGGCGGGCGCACTCCTCGGCCACCAGCGGCGCCGCCAGCAGCGCCACCCACACCGACGGGTCCACAGGCTTCTGCGGGTGCACATGCCTGTCCAGCTCGCCAGCCAGCTCAAACAGCAGGTCGCGCTTGTGGCGGCGCTTGGAGGAGGGGGCGCGTGGCGCGCGCGGCACGCGGTGGCGCTGCAGGCAGGCCCGGGCAGGGGCAGGAGGCAGCGCGGCGCAGGTCAGCGGTGCATCCACTGTTGGCCCGTGCTGCAAGCCGCACCAGCAGCTCTTACTCGCTCCCGCCAGCCACACCGATGGCCTCCTTGCCTTCAACGCCCACACAGCCGGCCCGCCAGGTGCCCACCCCCACCCACGCACCCACTACCCACACGTCCACTACCCGCCCCCCTAACCGCCCACCCACCCACCTTGAGGTAGAGGGCATGCTGCGGCAGCAGCATGTCCAGCAGGCCCAGGCGCCACATCAGCGCCAGCGACCGCTCCGAGGCGCCGTATCCCAACAGCGAGCCCAGCTCCATTTGTAGCCGCCCCTGCAGGCCAGGCAGGCAGGCAGGCAGGCAGGCAGGCAGAGGGAGGCAGGCGGCGGCACGTGGCGTGAGGTGGCAGGGCGAGTCGACAGGCAAGTGGCGGCGAGGCGCCGGGCCAGGCGGCGCCGACAGCCGCTTCGAGCAGACCAGTCGTCGGCGCTCATTCGAGGCACAGGGCACCTGCGGCAGCAGGCCGATGGTCGCCGCCGCCTCCTCCATCTCCGCCGCCGTCTCAGGCTCCAGCTCCAGCCCTGCGCCCAGGCGGCGGCATCACACCACCAGCACATCAACGCCGCAAGCAGCCGCCACCGCAAGCAGCCGCCACGGGGCCAACCGCGGCCAGCCAGCGCAGCGGGCAGGATGCAACGCGCAGCAGCAACGGCGCCCATGAGCAGCAGGAGCGGCAGCAGCGGTACCTGCACGCGCCGCCAGGCGCACCCCCCGCAAGATGCGGGCGGGGTCTGCCGCAAAGGATTGCTGCGGTGGGCAGATGGTGCGCAGGCGGCGGGCCTGGCAGTCCGCCACACCGCCCACCGAGTCAAACAGCAGGCGGCTGCAGCGGCAGGAGCAGCAGTTGGAGGAGTCAGCGCCTCGGGCAGCGGGCAGGCATGGCTGCCGCTGCCGCAGCAGCAGCACTCAATACAGCCCCGGGAGCACCAGCCGGCACGCCATGCCTGCATCCGCCACGCAGCCGCGCTCCTGCGCCTGTGCCACAGCCAGCAGATAACACGCGAGGCTCACCTGAACGGATCATATAGCAGGCCATTCACGGTGAAGTCGCGGCGGGCGGCATTGTCGGCACGTGCGGCCGCCCACGTCGCGCCGGCCTCCTGCCGCGCCACCCGCTGCGCGCAGCAGGGGTGCAGGGGGAGGGGTCGGAGGGGTTCACACGCAAGCAGGGGTTTCTGTTGGGTGTGAGAAGTGACAGGGGAGCACCAGGCACCTCCCTCCGGCCAGCACACACGCTGCCCGACCTTTGGCTTCTGCCTGCCAATCATGTGGGTGGATGCGTCGGCGGGGATGAGGCGCAGGTCGGCGTTGGTGGTGAAGCTGCTGACCTGCGGGGGCGCAGGAGGTGCCGGCAGCCGCGCAGGGGAGGTTGCCGCGACTGCCTCCCACGCATGGCAGCAGCGCCACAGCGCGGGGCTGCACACCGCAAGGTGGCGGTGGCGTGGCGAGTGCGCAGGCAGTACCATCCACAGCGCGGCAACTGCTTCAGCGCGATCTGCGGTACCGTTGTGCGGTACCCACCTCGATCATGGTGCCCTCGGCGTGCACCTGGCACACGGGGAAGGAGCGCCCCACGATGTTGCACCGCCCAAACAGGCGCTTGATCTGCGGAGGGGTGCGGGCGGCGGCCGAGCGCTCCCGTCGCTCTGCTGGCGCCAGCAGCAGGCGAAAACGAGCGCTGCCTGCGCAAGCAGCGCGCCTGGCACGCGATTCCCACACAGGCCCGACCGGCAGGCCAGGCAAACAACAAAACACTCCCTTCCGTCCCTATCCCTACGGTCCCTCTAGGAGACCTATGGTGTCCTGGCAAGTACCTGGTGCAGCTCTGCGGTGGTGAGCAGGTCGTAATCCTTGGGGGTGCCGCCCAGCAGCAGGTCCCGGATGGTACCGCCAACCACATACGCCTCGTGCCCTGCACCAGCGGGGGCTCACAGCGGGGGTGGGGGTGGAAAGAGGCAGGCGAGGGAGGGAGGGCAGCCTGGGGCGGCTGCCTTGGGGAGGATAGGATGAGGGGGCAGGGCTGCGGGGACGAGCGAGCGGGACAGCACGGTCGCCAGCCGCATTGGCCCCGGCCCAGCTTCCCGGCAGCTGCACCCGGCCCGGCCCACGTGGCTCACCCGCGGCGCGCAGACGGGACAGGACCAGCCAGGCGGGACGGGAGATGTCGCCATCCCTGATGGGGTGCGCATCATCCTGCAGCACCGCTGGTGGCGGCAGCCGGCGAGCGCCCGCCCTGCTGGCCACGTCGGCGGCGGCGGCAGCCTCGTCGCTGCTCTCGTCTTCGCTGGCGCTCTCCGCCGCCCCCGGCGCCGGCGCCTGCTGCTCCTGCTGCCCCCGCTTGCGCCTGGACCGCCGCGCTGCCCTGGTGCTGTGCTTGGGCCCGCCGTCCTCGCCACGCTTACTGCTGCCATCGCTGCCGCTGCTGCTGGCCGAGTCGTCTGCTGGCTCCAGGCCCGCCCAGGCCGCCGCCGCATCCGGCCCCGCCTCCGCCTGCCGCTCTCCCGCCTTGCGCCTGCGCCGCTGCTTGCCGCGGGCGGGCTCGGCTGCCGAAAGCATCAGCTGCGCCAGGGGATCCCCAGCGGCGGCCGCCTGAGCCAAGGAGCTGTCGCTTGGTGGCCGGCTGCCTGCTGGCATGAGCTCAGCCACCTCTGGCGCCAGCAGCGGCGGCGCGAGGGCCCAGCCGTCTGCCGCCTGCCGCTGCTGCTGCTGCGGCGGCTGCGACAGCTGCAGCGGCGACGGATGGGCAGCCTGCAGCGCCGCCTGGCCGGCTCCGCCGCTGGCGCCGCCTCCACCCACGGCCGCCGCTGCTGCCCGCAGCGTCTGCTGCCACAGCGTCTCGGCTGAGGGGACGGTTGACAGGTGGGAAGCCTGCGGGGCAGCTGACACGGCACGGCTGGCTGCCCACCCCGCCGCTCTCTCCAGCTGCTGCAGCAGCAGCTGCGGCAGCGCGCTGCCGGCCGGCCGCCACATGCTGCGGTGCTGCTGCCGCCGCCGCTGCCGCCGCTGTCGCGGCCGTCACCTCCCCTGCGGCCTGCCGCGCTAGCTGGCGATGCTGATGGGGTCCTATGCAGATGCACGGCGCGTGGAAAGGCCTGTACCGAGGTCTGGCTCGCAGACAAGGTGGGTTGGTGCGGCGAGGGGATGGGTGGGCAAACAGGAGCTGAGACCCGCAATTCGACTGTAGCTTCAGTGCATGTGGGGAAGGGAATGCGGGTTGGGCGTCTGGGTCCGCCAACAGCAAGAACTTGCCTGTGCTGAGCCGACCGGCTAGCCACAGCACGAGGCGGCTATGGACCTCCTGTTTCGGAGCGGCGAGCCCGAGCAGCCCGCACGGCTTCCGAGGAGCCCAGCAGAAGCCGCATCGGCGCCTCCATTTGCTCCCCTGCTGCGATCGATGTCGCCCCGCCGCTCCCCGTCTTAGCCACCCCCCCGCAGACCCCAGCCACCCATGGCGGCGGGGATGCCGGCCCTCTACGGGGCCAACAGCCAGCTCATGAAGCTGGAGCCGGCAGCGGTGGCGATGGGCGCCCACCCACTCCTCCAGGCCTCCGAGTGGCACAGCTCGGATAGGCAAAAGGAGCGGGAGGAGCGGGAGGCGCGTCGCAGGGTGTTGCGGCAAGCCAGGGAGCCCCTGTCAGGCCTACCGGTGGACCACATGTTTGAGATTCCCGGCAGGTGAGCGGCGCCGCTCCCGCGGCAGCTTCGCTGCCTGCCAGCTCGGGCAGGGCATCGCCCAGCCCTGACAGACGTGGCCAGAGGGCAGGCAGGCTGGCCGGCAGCGCTGCCGCACAGTAAACGGGCAGCGAGCGGACGGTGCCGCTCGCCCGACCCCGCGCCGCACCGCCCGCCCCTTGCGGTTGCCACCTGGCCACCACTAGCCCGCCCCTCTTTCGCTGTCGCTCCCACATGCTGCTGCCGCGGGCGTGTCGTCTGCCCAGCGCCTGCAGCCACGGTGTCCGATCGATCGGCGCCCCTTGCCCTTCGCCCCGCTCCTGCCCGCCACGCCCCGTGCCCGCCAACCCCTGCGCTGCCCTCCCGCCTGCCTGCCGTGCGTCTCTCCTGCTGCAGGCCCAACGTAGTGCTGCAGATAAAAAACTATAGCGAGCCCAACGCGGCTGAGGGCCGGCAGCGCGCCCGCTCCGACATTCCCTTCCTCTTCAAAGCCTTCGAGACGGGGCAGGCGCCGCCGCCGCGGCCAGGCACCAAGAAGGCCGAGGTGCGGCGCCGCCTCGCCGCGCCCCTGTTTTCCCAAACACCCGCTGGGCCCAGGAGGAGTGGGGGGGAGCCTGCGCAGCGGGCTGCGCACGCTGCATGTGCAGGCGATGGGCGGGCCGCCGCGGGGTGTGGGCGTCGCCAGCAGCGGCCGACGTCTCCGCCACACGCACCCCCATTCGTGCTCCCTGCCCCGTGTATCCACGCCCCCACCCCCCTGCCCCGTATCCACCCCCCCCCGGCCCGCAGGTGCCGCGCGCCGCCACCATCCACGAGTACCTCGACTGGACGGTGACCGCCAGCGAGGCGGAGGACCCGGATGAGCTGGTGGGTGGGGGGTGGGGCTGGTGTGTGTGTGTGTGTGCTGGTGGGAGGGGGCTGGGGTGTGTGTGGGCGTGTGCTGGCTGTGCTTGTGTGGCTGTGCTTGTGTGCGTGCATGTGCTGGGCAGTGCTTGTGTGTGTGTGCGTGGGTCGGGCATCCAGCCACGGACCGCGGGTGCCATCCCATGTCAAGGAGTTCTGCCTGCCACCCGGGGGCCCACTTCCGTGCAGCAGCGGTTCAGGTGCTGACTCAAACCTGCGCCGCCGCCCACCCACCCACCTGCCCTGCCCCGCCCGCAGGACTTTGGAGGGTTTAGGGTGGTGGTGCTGCTGCCGCGGTTCCGGCCGCAGTGGCCGCCGCCGCCGCCGCCCGACTGCCCCGCCGCCGACTTTGCGCACGAGCGGCCGCTGCAGCACGCGATGATAGGGGCGGCCAAGCCGCCGGTGCCCATCCTGGCGGTGAGCTGCCGGCTGGCTGGCTGGTGGGCTGGCTGGCAGTCGGGAGGCGGCTGTGCCTGTGCCTGCGCCGCTCCCTGCGCCGCCAGCCCTGCTGTCGATCCTCTGCCGCAGCTTGCGTGGCGGCAGCGTGCCGTGCCGGGCCGCTCCTCGCCCCTCCTGGCCCTGCCTGCCTGGTTGCCCGCCATCTGACCCTGCCCCGCCACCTGATCCTGCCTGCCCACCCGACCCTGCCCACCTGGCCCTGCCTGCCCGCTTGCAGGCTCACAACAAGCCCATCTGCGCGGCCACCATCCGCATGGGGCCCAGCTGGCTGGAGGTGCCCTTCTACGCCACGCAGGAGTCGAGGCGCAACAAGGGTGCGCGCAGCCGGCGGGGGCAGGGGGGGCCTGCTGGCAGGGGTGGAGCATGGGAGGAGGCGGAGCATGGGAGCATGGGCAGGGGAGCGGGGCCTGCGTGTCCTGCCTGACAGCGCCAAGCGGGAGGTGGAGCATGGGCGGGGTTCGCGCCAGGTGTGGCGTGCCGGGCAGGAGGTGCAGCGCGCGGGGGCGCCCGGGAGAAGCGGGGAGGCGAGGCCGGCGTTCAGCGTGCCGTACGGCCCCTGCGCCGCCTGCAGGCCACGGCCGGGCGCTGCTGGAGGCGATAGAGGACATCTGCCGGGCGCTGCGCATCCCGCGCATCCTGCTGTGCAGCACAGGTGCGCGGCTACAGCCCTCCTCGTTGCAGCCCCAGCCTGCACCTCGCAGCAGCACCCCCGCCAGGCTTGGCCCTGCCCTGCCGAGCCTCGCCTCCGCAGCTTAGCAGCGGAGCAGGGTGGGCTTGCCCCCTGCTGCTGCGCAACACCACCCCGCCCCCACACACACCTCTGCTGCCTGCCCCGACCCGCGCGCAGACGACGCTCGCACCAAGGCCACCTGGCAGCGCCTCGGCTTCTCCTTCACCACCACTGAGGAGCTGCAGCGGTACGGCGTGACGCACCACGACCTGCTGCACATGGACAACACGGTGCAGGTGGGTGTGGGGGTGTGGGTGGGGGTGTGTGTAGGCAGGGTGTGGCGGGGATTGGACCAGAAGGGTGGCGGCCAGGTGGCACGCTGCGCGCGCTGCATGCGCTGCGTGGCCCACCCTTGCACCTGTAGGGGATAGCTGGTTGGGGATACCCCACGCCCCCTTGCGGCCCCCACCCCCACCTGCCTCTTCGGCACACACACGTGCACACACACACACACACACACCTGCAGATGGTCAAGGAGGTGCCGCCCCCAGCGCCCTGGAAGAGCATTATGCTGCGGCACGCAGACCTCAAGCAGCGCCTCTACTACCTGCCGTTCAGGTGAGGGCGCGTGCCGGCTAGGGCCGCCCCGGCTCTGGCGTGCCCGCCAGTGCAGGATGCCGCAGAGGGTGCTGTGATCTGCTCTGTTTGCTGGTGCTGGGCATTGCTGCTTGCGCCTCGGCCTGACTGAAGAGCTTGCCTGGTGCTCCCCGGCCCTGCCGCCGCTGCAGCGCGGAGCAGCCGTACCAGCCGCCGCCACTGATAGCAAACGGCGTGGCGGCAGCAGCGCGGGGCGTGGCCAAGAAGCCCAGCAAGCCGGCCAAGAAGCGGCCGCGCAAGCGATGAGGCGTGCCGCACGGGATGCAGCCCGCCGCGCTCAGGCAGCAGCCGTTTGCAGGCTCGCGCCTTGGTGTGCCTGGCAGCACAGCTGCCATTTAGCCGACTGTTGACAGCACAGGTAGCTAGGACTTGACCCAGGTTGGGCGCCTGCTCATGCAGCGATGCGCCGCGCGATGCACTCATTTACGCTGCTGGTGCACTCCCAGCACGCGTGGGTGACTGACTCCCCGCATGCTTCTCGCTGCACCCGCCCGCGCCGACCCCAGTTTCCTTAGGCAGACCGCAATCACGCTGTTTCCACCGCAACCCCGGCGCACGCCCCGCCGCCCCTCCCCGCTTGTTTCTGCTCCTCACTCGCTCCTCCCTTCTGCTGCATGCCCCCCCCCCCCCTCCTTGCTGCAATCGCTTCCCCTCCCTGCCCCACCCTGGGACTCACCTCACCGGCCAGTACCACATAGGTGCCGGCCGCTGCAACCAACAATAGCACACAGCCGCACTGCTGCACAGCAAGACAGGGTCCGCCACGCTGCTGGTGGGCCGTGCGACAGCACCGCGAGTTGGGTTGTTACAGCGCTGCTGCCCGTGGGTACAGAGTGGTGACCACTGCCGCTTGTGCTGTCATGGGGGATAAGGGATAAGCGGGGCAAAGGGGAGGGTTAGCGCAGGCGTGAGAGGGTGGGACGGGGCGCACACACACTGGGCGACTTGGTTGGGACACTACAAAACACGGCACGGAGACGAATAGTCAAGCAGTAAAAACAATTGGTCACAAACAGAGCTGTGCAAGGAGAGGGGCGCCGGCGCGGCGCGGCAAGCGAGGGGCGGGTGTGCTGAGAGTGCCGCCCACGTGCCACACGCCGCGCCGGCATGTCTCCTGGCTTCCCCACATGCGCGGCCCTGCGGTCATTGCTGCTGCTGCTGCTGGGGCTCCACCGTGGCGCCGCCGCGACCACGGCGGTCGCGCCAGCCGCTTAAGTGTTGGGGGAAAGGGCGAGGGAAGTGAGGGCTGCACCACGCGCGGCGCAGCTGCTCCAGGAAGGCAAGGCAGCCGCGGCGGTGGCAAGAGGTGGGGTGAAAGCGCCAATGAGCCGTTACGGGGGTGGGGCGGGTGGCTGGCTGGCGCCGGGGCCGCACTACTGGGGCGCGGGGGGCGGCGCGTGCGCCATCGCGGGGGCGGCCTGCTGCGGCGGCGCCGCCATGGGGGCCGCTGCCATGGGTGCCGCGGGCGCCATGGGCATCACCACCTGTGGCACCCGCCAGTCCAGCTCCGTGCCAGACCCCAGATCCAGCAGCACGTCTGCAGGCATCGGGGGAGGGGCGGGGGCGCCGTTGGCACGACGCGCAAACTGGGATACCGCCTGCCTGCTCCTCAGCCTGCTGCTAGCGCTCCACTGCTGTGAAGTCTGTCGGCTGCTGTTGCTACCGGCTGCGTCAGCAGCTGCCGTCGCGGCAGGTCCAGCGGCGCCAGCAGGCGAAGGCTGCCGCCGCCGGGCAGAGGCAAGCAGGCAGGGACGGCTGGGCAGGGCTGCCGCCAGCAGGGGCATTGCGTGCTGTTCGGGGGGACATTGTGCCGCAACCGCTGCCAGAGGCATGCTAGGGGGCGAGCGGGCCAGGGGGGGCGCTGCAGGCGCTCACTTTGGCTCACAAAAGACACCTGCGACATGTCCTCGCCAAAGCCCATCTCGGGCCAGGCGTCGTACCTGCGGCGCGGGAGGCGGCCCACAAGCCGTAAGTTTGAAAGCCAGGGGAGTGTGGGGGGCGGCGGGGCCTGCACGAGGCCAAACGCGGCCCGGACGGCAGGCACCAACAGCCGGCTCACTTGAGGATATACACGGGCCGCCCGAAGCTGTCTGTCTGCGTGAAGTTGCGGTTGATGATCAGGGCTCCCCACCACTGCGGGCAGGCGCGGGGGAGTGGCGCTTCAGCTGCCTGACCAACAGTCATGGGGGCACCCTTCTTTGAAAGCCAGCGGCCTGCAGGCGCCTCCCCGCTGCGCCAATGCCCTTCCACCCCAGGCACGGGCCCTCCACCAACAGTTTGGGGCCCGCAGCGGCGCAGATGGCTTGCCTTGGTCACCGTTTGCTGCGAATCATCGTCTACGACTTTCCACAGCACCTGCAGGGCGTTTGGAGGGCAGGATGGCGTTATTGAGGGGCTGCAGGGCCCCAGTGGACCGGCGCCGCGGGCACGCGGGAGGCTGGGCTGGCCCGGCTCGTTCTGGAGAACCAGCAGCAAGCTCGCCTCTATGCGTCGACCAAGAAGCGGGTCCATCATCGCAGCTGTTGTGGGGAGGCGAGGGACTAGGGGAGCGCGTGGGCAGGCCGTGGTTTATGGTTGTGCCGGCTTAGTCCCAGGCACCCTGTATTGCCCGGCGTACTACAGTGGGCAAATGCGCAAGCGGGCTCACAACTCGACGGACCAGCGCCTAGAGCCGAGCTGCCAGCCCTCCCCAGCCACCAACGCCCGGCGATGGCACGCCGTCCATGCTGGGGCGGCCTGGCGCACGGCTCAAACGATGCTGGTGGCCTCTAAAGTGCCTCCAAAGGTTTGAAGCCGCGGTGCAAGCGCCTGCAGTTGCGGCGTGGGGAACGCAACACTCCGTTGCCGCCCCCCTTTAACAGCTTCAACCTGCTCAGGCAGCACCTACCGCCCAGTCACACGAATCGAGCATTTCAAAAGCTGGCTAGCGGCTGGCGTGGAGCGGATGGAAATGCAACTGGCGGCGCAAGGGCTGGCGGCAACCGCGGCGCACTCCCTTTCTTGGGCAGCATTACTTTCAACCAGACCTTTATTGATAAAATCTGGGGGAACAAGCAGGGCCAGCCACTCAATCGGCCGTCGCCCCGTCCTGTGCCTCCTCGGCGGCCGCCGCTGCCGCCAGCTCGGCATCCATGTCGATGGGCCCGCCCTCGCCCACATCAGCACGCGCGTCCTCGGCCGCCGCCGCCGCCGCCACGGGCGTCAGTCCAGTGAGGGCGGTGCCGGTAAAGCCGCGCTCCGCCTCGCGCGGCCGCCGCGCTGCAACAGGGAGGGCGGCGGGGAGGAGGCAGGCCACTGTGACTCGCGAGGCACGCCCGCATCCACCGGGAGGCGCAGGCGGGCCCGCCGCCGATGCGCAGCCCGTCGCTGCCCTGCTCACCCTTGCCGGCATACGCGGGGAAGAGGGAGGCCAGGTCTGAGGCGTCGTGCTCGCCGCTGTCCACCTGCAGCCCACCCAGCACACAAGGCTGCCAGCTGAGCACCGGCTGATGGGGCGGAGGCAGCAGCGCAGCCCCGCGCTGCCGCTGCCGGCACGGTCCAGCCTGCCGCCAGCTGGCCGTGTCTGTTACCCAGCACAGATTGAGCCGGCACACACCCCCGGCACGGCACCCAGCCCCAGCCCACCACTTTGATTTCGTCCTGCGGGTAGATCTCGCACTCCGCCAGCGTGGCGCTGTCGCCCTGCGTCAGCGGTGCGCCCCTGCACGCCACGCGCCGCCCTCACAACCAAGGTTGCATGTCCGGCTCGCAACGCCACACACCAGCGGGGGGGGCCCGCATAGCACGCATGCCTGCCCCCCTGTGGCCGACCGCCACACCCTTCCCGCACCACCATCAACAGGCGCACACCCACCCTGCCCCCAGGCAGCACCTGACAAAGAGCTGCGCGTTCCTGGGGTGCACATCCAGGCTCTGCAGCACGTGGTACCGCAGCTGCTGCAGCGTGTCTCCAGAGCTGACAGACACGCAGGCACGCCCCTTGCGCGCACGCTTGCTCTTGCGCTCTGCGGGGGGGGGCAGCGGCAGCGGCGGCACAAGGGAGGGTCGGTGGCTGCAGCTCGCGCTGCGGCCCGGCAGCGGGAGCACGGCTCGCAGGGAGCTGCGTGCCTCGCCCCGACATGCACAAGGCCCTCGCGCTGCCGTGCTCGCCTGCGCCGGCCGCCGCCTCTCCCGCCGCCACCGCCTCCTCGGCGCTCGCCACCAGCTCAACAGCCACCTGCAGTGCAGCGCAGGGCTGGGGGGTGTCGAGGACCCTGCTCCACTGCTGCAGCTGCTCCCTGCGCCACTTGCCCATTCTGCCTCTGCCGCAGGCTCGCATCGCCTCGCCCCCTAGCCACACCATGCACCACCCCACCCACAGGCCTGCCCCACCTCTTCATTGGCATAGCTGAGGAGCGCAGCCCGCAGGCGCGCCTGCCGCTCCGCCACCGCCTGCTGGCACAGCGGCGGGTCGGTCACAAAGCAGGCGCTGCCCGCGGCGCCTGCAGGGGGAGCGCGGCCAGGAAGGGCTGGCTGGTCAGCTGGGGCTTGCAGGAGGGAGCAGGCAGGGACCACGCAGGCAGGCAGTGTGGGCTGGCCAGCTGGGACCGAGGGAGCCGGATCGGCCAGCGGGGCGCATGGCAGCAGCAGCAGGCAAGCAGCTGCGGCGGCGGGGCAGCAGGCAAGCAGCCGGCAAAGAAGGAGGCCCATGTTCAGGCAGGCGGGCAGGCGCATTTCTGCACTGGAGGGGAGGGGCGCACCCCGCGTGTTGTGCTGGCGGTTGCACTTGTAGGGATTGTTCTCATCGCCGATCACCATCACCCGCTCCCCGGCAAACGCCTCCCCGTCGCTGCCCGCCTCGTCGCCCGCCGCCGCCGCCGAAGCCGCCGCCGCCGCCGCGCGGCCGCGCCTGGGCTGGCCGCCGCCGCCGCCGGCCTCTGCTGGCGGCGCCGCGGGCTGGCCCCCGGGGCCGCCGCCGCCTGGTGGAGTGCCGCCCTCGACTAAGAAGGTGGCCTCTATGCCTCTGCGCCAGGAAGGCAGTCAGAGGGGTTCATCGTGTCGGCACGACCGGCAGCAGGGGGCTGGCAGGGCAGCCGCCTTCTTCCTGCATCAGCCCAGGCGGGCGGCTGGCGGCGGGCCAACTGGCGGCTCCAAGCCACCACCACACAGGCCAGCACAGCGGCCAGGACCAACCCCAGGCACAGGCGCGGGCTGCCCAAGCGGTACGAGCTGCCTCGGGCGGTACAGGAATACGTACCGCTCCAGCAGCGCCTCCAGCTGCTCGCCGTACCGCTGCGCCTGCCGCCGCCGCTTCTTGCCGCCGCCACCCTCGCTGCCTGGTCCATAGTAGGCAGTCAGGGCGAACCAGTCCTGTGCAGGCAGCACCTCAAACACGCCCGCATCGGCAGGGGCGGCGGCAGCGGCACTGGCGGCGGCGGCGCCGGCGGCCGCGCCGGCGCCGGCCGCGTCTGCGTCTGCCAGCGTCCATCTGCGGGACGGGTGCGGGACGGGGCAGCATAGGGGGCCATGGGCAGTGTAAGCTAGCCAACTGGGTAAAACAGGCATTCAGCAGTGCTGCCGCCGCGCAGGAGCAAACAAAGCAGAGCACAGGCCCGT